GGAGGAGGAAGGGTATGCTGTAAGATAATATCGCTTCACTTGTTAGTGAATCAAAAGGCTTGCAACAATAAAAGAGCCCAACCATCCCCTCAAAGTTTGAAGAGCCACGGCCTTCATATAGTGGTACTTTTTAACGTCATTCGATGAYTATTGATCGACAAACTGACTGAATGATTGATTGATGGTTTGATTTATGGACTATTTATGGATTGATTGATTGATTTTTTTTTATAGTTTTCTGTGAAATTCCATCCTTTCATGGACTTCAACATGGAGACGATCCTGGCAGTCTGAAGGTCGTCTTTCAAGCTAATTACGCCGGGTTAATTGAAAACAATTTCTATAATAAACACTATTTTGCGTATGAAATCGAACCAAATAAAATTGAAATGACACAAACAAGAGAAAGTGCTTATTCCCGGAATATGACTAAGCTGGTATCAAACCAGTTTGCACCGTACACAAATTACTGTGTTCAAATAGGGGCATCAAGCTTTAAGGCCGGYGGCTTCTTTTCGAAACCAAAATGCATGGTAACTGCCGAGTCAGGTAAGAATCTTATTATCAACAGTATTCACATACAATGACACGCTTGAAAATCACAGATATATAATGCATTAAAAACCTTATCTCCCTAGTCCCCAGTGTCGCTCCAACAATCATTGAAGCAAACGTCACCAATCCAAGTTCTATTTCAATAACATGGAACCTGACAAGTGGGTGGAATGGGAAGCCTGTGGGATTTCATATCCGATGGGGGAATGGTCACCAGGTGAATGTCAGTTCTAATGACACCACATACACCATCACTGGCCTGCAAGGTGGCATTATGTACAATATCAGTATTAGTGGGAYCACTAAAGTTGGTGCTGGGAAAGCCGCTTTCATCAATATCACCACTCCCATTGGACGTAAGTTGATTGAAAGTTTCTTTGACTCAAGCATGGGTTACTGAATGCAACTCGAAAGAGCATTCATATGTAATTGTAATAATAATATGTAATAATAGTAATTCATATGTAAATGTAAAAAACTTGCCTTTGGAAAAGTGCTTTAGAAATTTTGGAAACTTTAAACACGTAATCAGGTATTTGTAAGTATCTAAAAATCTCAGATCTCAAAACAACATTTTTTTAATTCGGTAGCTGTAGTAACTTATCTAGTGATTTCAACTTTCATCCYACAGCTCCWACTGGTTTTCCCGCCAACATAAGSCTGTTTAACACAAGTCATACCAGTYTGAATGTCACGTGGTCTGATGTCCCCCAATCACAACGCAACAGCATCATCCAAGCATATATGATCTCCTTATATGACAATGTCACGGGAAATTTGGTTCAWAAGCRAATTAGATGCTCGTCCCATGAGAAGCAAATCCAATTCAACAATTTAAAACCTTACTCCAAGTACAGCGTTCGAATCCTTGGGATTACTAACTCGAACGGTCCATACAGCCCTTTGGTGCATGCCATGACAGCCGAATCCGGTAAGCATCATTAGTAATAAATCAATTTAATAAATTCATTCTGATGTATCGTACCTCCACCGGAAGTGACGTCACAAAGCGGAAGTAGTTAAAAGGAACGACTTCATATGAATGCGCAAAGCGAGAACGTAAACACAACTTATAGTTCCAATCTTCTTATTCCAATATTTCTAGTTCCCAGTGTTGCGCCTCATGTTATCGATGCCTATAACACAAGCCAAAGCAGYATCTATTTCCGATGGAATCTCACGTATGGCTGGGATGGGGAGCCATGGGCTTTTGTTATCGACTATGGCTCAAATCAAGATTTTGTATGCGCTAATCAAACGTCGTACAACATCACCGACTTACAGACATTTACTATGTACAGTATAAGCATTAGAGGAGCTACTGGAGCTGGAATTGGCAAAGCTGTTGTCTTCAATGTCAGTACAGACGAAGGAGGTAAGTTTGAAGCAAAACGAAGTAACAAAATGAGAAGGAGTGAACCGAATAAAAAGAGAGAAAATAACGAAGAAAACGTGAAATCTCGGCGGAAATGGGTACTCGTAAAAAAAATTACTTTTTATGGAAATACTGATCTAAGAAAGAGTTTTGTTTCAAATTCTCATCATCATCATCTGGCGACCCTAAGGGCCGGGGCGCACTCAACAACACGTCGCCACACTTCACGGTCCGCCATGGCTGCAGAGAGGTCCTCTTTCTCGATTCCCGCGTCCCTAGCAATGGTATCTGGGTAGGTGAGGCCTCTATGACGGACAAGGCCGCGAGGTTTCCACAGCAGTAGAGACTGTATTACACCTCCATCTACTTTTCCCACCAACATCAAACTTTTTGTAGTAACTTATCTAGTGATTTCAACTTTCATTCCACAGCTCCAACTGGTTTTCCCGCCAACATAAACCTGTTTAACACAAGTCATACCAGTTTGAATGTYACGTGGTCTGATATCCCCCAATCACAGCAAAATGGCTTGATCCGGGGATACAAAATAACATTACATGACGTTCAGGAGAATAAAACAGTTGCAATCACATTTGTGTGCTCTACCACTAAACAATGGCAATTCGACAATCTAAAACCGTACTACAATTACAGTGTGAAAATTCTTGGTTCCACAAAAATGGCGGGACCAGACAGTCCTTTTGTACATGCAATGACCGACGAATCTGGTGGGTACATTCATAAACGAGCCGATTCTTCACTTTCTTGCGAGATTTGCTGGTGATTCGATAGAACCAGTCACATTTGCAAAGTAGATCGAAAAACTAGGCAATGAAATCTATTGCGCTTCCTAGTCCAATCAACCACTGTAACTCGTCTGAGGAAGTGAAGGTCTTTTATCTACAAATATTCACTTTGCTGAATTGCAAAAGAATATAGAGATCTTTTACATTAAAACCAGAGTTTTCTCTGAATATCTTTAACGGCGCGTGGTCGGTCAAGGTGTTCATGCATCTCCTTGGTATGAGCATATTTGAACCGTTGCAATCGTTTGTCGAAGTAAATCCAGCATGACCGAGCTTTATCACCACAAGCCCTTTTCTAAATATCCTTTCTTTCCTCATCTTTTCAGTTCCCATAATTCCACCTGCCAATCTTCACGGAAARAACCTATCATATGAAAGTCTCTATGTCACGTGGGACTTGATGAACACTAGCGATTATCGTGCCATCCAAGGGATTTTACTGGGTTATTCTCTTAGAATAACATGGCTAGACAATGATATCAACCACACGAATAGAAAATACAATTTATGCAACAACTCAATAAGTATTCGTGACYTATGGCCGTATTCCTTGTACAACATCTCTGTGGCGGGTTTTACTCGATATGGCGACGGATCCTGGAGTAGTATACAACTACGAACCGAGGGAAAAGGTTTGATTAGTTTGATTAGTTGACACTACAATAATTAGGACTACAATTACAACGTCACCACAACGGTAATGTCGAATAAGACGATGATAATGTCGATGGAGTTGAAGGTTATCGAAACGACGGTGATGATACTGTCGACGGGCATATAGGATGACGACGATAATTTCGGTGGCGTGAATAAGGTTGATGAGTTAAYATACCGAATAAGGGCTGCAGTTACAACGTCGACGACGACATTATCAAATAAGACCATGATGATGTTCGAAGAAGATGAAGATTATCGCTGTGACGGAGAAAATAATGTCGACGCGGGCACGACCAATGTCGGATGATGATGATGATAATGTCGATGTTGATAATAATATTTATAGTGACGGTACTGTTGAAAGCGACGATATAACCAAGTTATTGACTACAAATAGGCCTTTTGCGTGAGTCAGTCACATGGTACTAAATCCGCCATACTGGATGGCAAAATACCCACCCGGATGTTCAAAATAAAGAAAAATCAAGTTTGATGGGTTGCGTTCCTTTTGTTTACATTCTTTTGCCATCCAGTATGTCGGATTTAGTACCATGTGACCGTTTCATGCAAAAGGCCTATTGCAAGGAAGATCACAATAACGATGATACTGTGTCCACGATATGATGATGCTGTCGATAATGTTTGCTCGAAGTCAGTATAGCCACTTTACGCTTCGTTCGTTTTTTTTGTTTTTTTAGCTCCATCAAAACCGCCGTCATCARTCGTAGCACACAACCTCAGCTCCGACAAAATACGAGTGGACTGGGAAGAAGTAAACGGTTCATTCGCACATGGCGACATTTTAGGTTATAAGCTTACATTGATCGACAMGGGTAACATCTTATTTAGGAGAAGCAATGATGAAAATGCCAGTGCCACCTTTTCGATATTCGATGGTCTTAAGGAATACACTATGTATTCGATTGAGGTTTTGGCGTATAATAAGTTTGGCGATGGTCCTGCTTACAAAYTGTATGGTAAAACAAAAATGTCACGTAAGTATTTATCATGTTATTAGGGTAGAGCGCAATAACGATTGTTAGTGATTATTTTATGTAACTGCAGTTATTATCGCGCTCGGCTCGTATTCTGCTATCATATTTATCATTTTAAACTAATTAAAAATCATCATCATCACCGTCATCATCATCATAATCGTCATCACCATCATCATTATCATCATCATTACCTTCAGCATTATCAATATCATCGATATATTTATCATTATCATTAATCACTATAGACCTAATCAGCTAACGGCGTTGCTAWGTACGTTGYCACCCAATTCAAATCCTGTGGGAGAAAGAACTTTTGTTTCTAAGAATTCAACTGTGAAATGAAAATACAACGAACAATGAAACTTACTCCCGGGTGGTTTGAATTGGATTGAAGCCGATTAGGTCTATTGCCACCATTACTTTGTATATAWTTTTTTGCGCGGGCTGACTTGGTTCTTTTTGATTTTACTATCGCATTGCAAAACTCGACTTGTACTCGCATTCTTATGTTATTTAGCTCCCAAGCAAGCTCCGACATCCTTGAAGGCGTGGAACACAAGCTCAACAAGTTGTGCCATTACGTGGGATCACGTAAAAGGAAGTCATGTTGAAGGATACATCGTCTCTTATACAAACGTKGAAAATACAACATTGCGTAGTAACAAAATAACTTGTAATAACACGTTAGAAATACCCAACTTGGACAGATACACCTTGTACAACATCTCCAYCAAGGCGTTCAACCCTGCTGGCCTGGGGCCGGTAAGCRWGCAAGTGCTATGTCGCACCGATGAAGATAGTAAGTCTAAACAAATTCTAAATTTAAATATTCAACTAAATTGAAAGAAAGTTCACAATGCATTCYTATTTTACCAGTTCCATCCATGTCTCCAATTCACATGCAAGGCTTTAACACAAGCAAGCACAAKATCTTCATTTCTTGGGATCCAGTCCCCAAAGAAAGCGCCAACGGTGTGATATTGGGATATTACATTACCTTTAACATAACAAACAGAACTGAGAACCATTCACGACGAAGGCGTCGTTCAGTAGAAGTAGGAACTACAGTCACAGTACCGGTATCRCAAGGAAACTATACTTTTCAGAATTTACAGCCGTACACGTGGTATGGTGTAAGAATTGCGGCATATACAACTAAAGGTACTGGGAAATGGAGCCCTACTTTTTATATACGTACAGAACAAGAAGGTAAGAATCAGACAGAAATTAAATAAATGGAAAAAAAGAATGAATGAATTCTACTCAATCCATTATTAATAAAAAAAAATTCTTCCAAACATTTTCACAGAACCTCAAATTCCACCACCTTCTGTGTCCGGTTTCCACACGAGCTCGACGTCAATCAAYGTCACGTGGAAATCCATAACCAATGCGCAAGTCAAAGGCATAATGACGTCATACATGGTACGTTACGTCATGTTAGATAAGTATGGTAACAACGTCACAGCGAGAGAGGAGAAAACTGTTCCTCATACGCAGCAGAGTATCGACCTGAAAAGCTTGARGAAATACACAAACTACAGTATAACGGTCAGCGGTGTAACGAAGGAGGTTGGGGTGGAAAGCCAGCCTGTTGTTGTCAGGACGAATGAAGACAGTAGGTGCACTAGAAAATAGCAATGTTTTACAAATCCATACATTTCTCCTTCGCATCCTACCCTTTTGCCGGGCTTCCTGTGGGACGGACAATCGATTGAATAAATACCGACTGCGCAGCTGTTTCTACGGAAACCAAAAATCATTGAAGAAATTATTTTCCCATTATAATTGAAAGCATAATTTACCGAATCAAATACTCTTTCCTCGCTGCAGAACCAGACGCTCCACCACAAAATATTGTGCTTACTCGAGTAAGCCATGCAAGTTTGAAGGTGACCTGGTCYCCAGTCCCCGAGCCGTTTGTTAATGGAATCATACGCGGGTATGTGTTATATTACAAAAAGACTAGTGACAAAACGTCATCGCTTAGCAACGTCACCTTGACAAGCAAGAATACGTCGTATGTGGTAGCAATGCTGCTCCCATCTACAAGTTATTCGTTTTGGTTATGTGGGTTCACTGTGGTAGGACTAGGTGTGTTAAGTGACGTCCACAGGGGATCTACTGATGAGAGTGGTAAGTGGTCATGTGACTTTATATTTGTTGTATCTATAAATAATTATTTTGTAAACTAGCAATTAACTAGTGTGAGCTGCGTCGGGGWTTCTAAAGAAAACGTTCATGTAAAAAGATAAATTTAAACACCATAAAAAGGTAGATGAAGTAAGTTGTTTCACCTACTTGTACCGTGTTAAAATTTATTTTTTTACATTTTGAGATTATTATATTAAATTGAGATTATTATATTAAATTGAGATTATTTTATTACATATAAAAGGATATTAGCCAGCTTTAATCAAACGTACTTTTTGTGGTTCACTTCTTTCATAAGACCAAGAGCCACTATGCTATCGTATTGTTAGTAAGAAAGGAAGTAATAATTTTCAGTGTAATTCCGCAAATGCGTCGACATTTGAAACCATATCATCAACAGTCTCGGTCAACAGTCTCGGCTCCTAGTTTTCGTCAATTTCAACCCCCTTATTATCTATCGTTTTTATAGTTCCAGACAGGGCACCAGGCAACATTACCGTCAAGAACTTGACAAGTGATCACTCCCTGMRRATAACATGGTCCCCAATCCACTACGACCATATTCGAGGAATTTTGCTTGGTTACAAAATCATTTACAAGAGTGTCAAGTTGCCGGGGAATGACACCGCAAGTTCTGAAGTTGTCAAGGTTACAAAACCATCYGCGCAGTCAGCATTAATCGAGAACCTCCACAATTTTGCTGTATACGAGTTWAGGATTCTTGGGTTTACCATAAAAGGAGATGGTGTCATCAGCGAGCCTGTGTACGGAGGTATGTTTCTTTGAACTGAGATCCCGTGTTGAGCTGTCGATTACCACGAAATATAGAAGGTACTTGCCAAATTTGGAAAACAGTTACACATGAAAAAGTCGGTTATCAAATATTGAGCATTGTAAGTAATAGTTAGAAATGATTAGCTAATACTATTTAATAATCTAACCGATCAATAATTATGCTGCCATGCGAGTCCTAATAACTTCACCGCAGGCCAMAACGCTACGCGGGCTCTGTGTATGAAATTGAAGAATATTTTGTTGTTTAGAGACCTGCRCATGCACCAAAACCCTCACCACAACATACCACGTGACCAGCCCTTACGTCTCATTCAATCGAACAACATCCATGGTGGCGGGATTAATACCCACAATCCTTAAGCTTATAATCAGATCGTGCTGTGGGGACTGTSTTAACGGACACGGTGAAACAAACATCGATTTTCAACACGACTACCATGGCAACCGTGCAGAAAAAACAAACATTACAGAATTCATGCGCAATGACGTGGCTTATACTGATCTGGTATTCCCTATAAACGGCTTCGAAGGTAAATTATACTGCAGACCTCATTAATAATTCATAAGCTGTTAGTCCAATAAGGGGTGTCTATTTAGTCATGTGATTAGCCTTGTGAATTCACCAACAATTTCTTCCAAATCGGTACTTGTTCAGGTTGATTAATGATGATTAAGSTTCACAATTTTGCAGGACTTGGCAACTACAGTGACCTGAATTATATTCTTCATATTTAGTTACGGGACGATTATTTTTGTTCAGTACACTTAAATTGTCCAATTTTATCACCAATAGACTAGTACAGCTTGAATCTTGAATAGAAAACTTACGACTAGCGTAAGATAATGTCTAGGTACTCCCAAATCTAAAGTCGCTTTAAGTGACCAGGCGCTTTGATTGATTTAACGGCTCTTCCACATCAACACATCCCTCTCACAACCAGTTGAGTAAAAAAGATAAATTTAACGCCGTAAAAAAGTAGGTGAAACAGCTTACTGACGTTTCGTACGTTAATCCTTCGTCGGAGTAAATACTAGTGTCAGTACCTCTCACAACCAGCCAGATTTCATACTGATAGTTAGTTCTATATGAAATGATGATGATGATTCTAATTCCAGGAAAAGAGATGCATGGTGAAAATGCTTTTGTTAAGCTGGTAGTATCACCGGGGGTAGCTTTCATCACGGTCAGCAAGATCACCAAGTCTCGTCTTGCGACTGTRCTATTCAGAGCTCTCGCAAATAGTGGAACTCTGATMCTCCTCATGTTATCAATAATGTGGTTAGTGGGCATTCTTACCTGGGCATTGGTAAGTARCTTTTCTACTCATTGCAATATTTCTGATATCAAATGTCTTTGGTTTGATTTTCTCTGTAATATTCAGCTTTTATTGTTTAGAGAAAGTTTTCAGTTTTTTTCGAACTGCAAGAAGTGGCAATAAACTATTATTAGTATTATTATATTATTATTAATTAAGTGGTTTATTACAAATTAATATGCAAATCGCATACCATAACAATGATATTAAAATTGAGTATCACTTATTCTACAGGATACAAGATATAACCCCGAAACCTTTCCGCCTTCGTTCATACAAGGGACGTACAATGGAATTTGGATGGCATTCATAAGCATAACCACGCTGGGGTAACATTATTTCTTATGTATACACCTTTTTCAAGTGATGTTGACCTCTAAATATGGYATGATGAAGTCGATAAGAACTCTGGAAACTTACTAGTTTAACCAATAGTGCTTAGTATTTCTACATTAACGATWGGTAGCCTCCTCGGCAGTCAACACTCAATGTTGCGCTTTCTAGTCTTCCTGGGTCATATTGAGGAAGGCAGAAAGCCCAAACGTAGAGAGAAAAGTGGAAAGGAAGCAAGAGGCCTGAGGTTGAGGCTAAACAAGAAGCTAGTYAGTCAAGAATATTTAGATTTTCGCCGATTGAAAATAGGAATTTAAGTAAAAAAAATCAAAGTAGAAGCCGGCTTACTGAGGACTGGTTCAGTAAAAAGGAGACTATGATGGAGTTATTAGTAATAACACCACCATAAACCCCTTTGTWCTGAGCCAGTCCTTACCATAATTTTCCAGTTATGGAGACTGTGTGCCTAAAAGTATGGCTGCCCGTATTCTGACCATAGCGAACGCTCTGATGGGTTTTGTCTTGATCTCATTGATAACTGCAAACTTAAGCAACGATCTCGTAGTCACGACAGTTGTCGCAGACCAGCAAAACCTGTACAATGCCAAAGTGAGTATAATTCATTCTTGTCTAGTACTACTTGACCGCAAAGTAAATATGGCGACTTGAACTCAATGACTATAATACGCCACTCATGAAAACCAACATCGTAATTCACATTAAGAATTATTTTGCATGTATGTTAGGTTGGCGCCATAAAGGATTCCTTTGAACACCGAGTGGGAATACGACGGAACGCTAAAATAGAGAAAGGTAAGAATTATGGGTATTTTAGAGGGGGGAATACACCAAACGGTGGTCAGCATTCGATGTTTTTTTTTCTTCTCATATTTGCCACAAAGATTACAGCAAAAAATTATCTGGCCTTCTTGAGGATAAAGATTTTAAAGTTTTAGAGAGTTTTGTCCTTTTTCGTGTAGATTACCACAGCTTCAAAGATCTTCGCCWGGCAATGATATCACATGACGTGGACGGTATACTCGTGGATCTGTACGTCTCAGCCAATCACCAAGAGTTATTCAATCTTCCGGGACTAACAGCCAGAATAAGCAAACTTCTAAAGTATGATAATATCTACGGGGTGTCCCTCGGAGGAAGATCAAAGAAACTACAATTTTGCTTTAATGATTACATTAATTTTAAACGAGAGAATGTGTTTAAGATAATACAGTCAGGTGTCTCTCAGCCAGAGGTAGGTCGAACATCCACGAGTTATATCAGATAAACGTGGAAAGACACTACTCACAAATTCTATTATCTTTAGGTTCCCAAAGGAAATCCTGCAGACGTTATATCGTCTGGTCTAATTGACTCCAATTCCGATATCTTTCAAGTGACAGTCAAGTATGGCGGAGGCTTGATTATCTTATGCAATGTTATTGCTCTGATCTTTAAAGTTTTTGGGCTACGAAAACGATCCGTCACACCAGCACAACAAGGTAGGTATAACTGACATGAATGATAGAAAATAGTTGCTAAATCAGCAAAAAATAATGGTAAAAACATTATTTGTTTCATACCTTGAAAGAGCAACAGAACAATCTAGCAATGATCTTGGRTGGATTCAGTGAATTTTAGATCAATTGTGACGCCATTGCGCGTGCCCTAGTTTGTCATGCGCATGAAAGGCGCGCGCTCAGTKGACATAAAGTTGAAATCTCATCACCTGCTCATCCCCAATACTATCGTTGTTTTACTAGATTCAAAGAAAAAAAAACAAAGAATATCTTCAGAATAACTAAACTATACTTGATTTTACCTTACATATTATTTTTGATATGTTCACTTGCAGCGCCTAATCCAAGAGTGACAACGGTTAAAGAAATGCGGCGATTAAYCAAAGTGTTCYACAGTAGATTCTCGAATATGTATCAAGAAATACGAGCAAGACACTTGAAAGAAAGGAAAAAGCTCCTCAAAGAACGAAGAGTAMAAACTCAAGCTAAATATCGCGTTGACCTGTTAGTGCTTCATAAAAACAAAGAAATGCAGTCTGAATGCTAAAGATATATTATTCTAAATTTCTCCTAACAAAAATATCTACAATGGAAACGAATACGACCTTCCTAAAAGAACAGAAGTGACTTCTGTCTCCAAACCTGTTGTCTCATACCTGAACTAGACGTTTTGTCACCAGGCTCCCGGACACTATTAATTGAAAAGGAATGGGTACTAATTAAACCAGTTATGATGTCATTCTTCCTTATGACGTCATTTCAATTGTAATCAGTGCTCACAATGAGTCTTTGGCATGTATAGCAAAGKATAAAAAAAGAGCAAGAGGACTTGAGATGAAACTGTCCGCAGTTTTGGTAACTGTACTTTTAGTGGCATTTCCGGTCGTATTTGGAGTGGAGGCCATATGTACARACGGACCATGCTGCAGTAGTAACGGGCAATTCCTGTCTAATGACACAGTTTGCCGTCCTGCCGCAAACGAGTGCGACGCGCCGGACTATTGCACGGGTACGTCCAGCCAGTGTCAAATTGACATTAGTATTAAGGAAGGAACGTCATGCGGAATACCAGATGACCCAGGAAATTGTGTTGACGGATTTTGTTGGAATTCTGCCATTAAAGCTAAAGTCAAGCACTGCGAGGACACATGCTCTAAACTAAACGGTAACTGCAGCCAAAATGGAACATGCGTKTGCTATGAGCCGTGGAAAAATCCACCTTACTGTAACAGCAAAAATGATTATCACACCAACATCAACCCGAGCAACGAAAATGATTTCTATCATGACATGGAAATCATTAATAATATCACTGCAAAGCGAATGCGACGATCTTCAGGCAACAAACATCATCATGGCAATCACCATCACCACCACAAACCAAACGCTGTAGCACTTCCGAGGATGGTACAAGATCCGCCAACGGAGGATGCGTGGACGAGATACAGCCAAAATCCGCTGTTTATTCCAATTGTTGTGACCATTRTCGCTTTTATCATTCTTTTGATCTTCGGGCTTTGGGCATCAGCSCTGTACAGGTCAGAGCTCCAAGCACGTAAAATAAAATCAAGAATTAAAGTGAACAAGTCACGKCGCAATGTCTCCAAAGACACTAGCATTATCAACGATCCTTCCGTCTCCATCGATGTGGGACAATAGAAAACAAGCCTCTCTACTACTCAAAGACTACAAATGACTTTACTCTATACTCTCTTTCTATAAATATGTGTTTAGGGAAAATGACATTTGACTAAGAATATAATCTGGAAATGATGTATTACATTACCTGCATATGCAGGAGCAATAAWACAGCTCATAAAGTAAGACTAGAACATGTGTATTAATACTTATATTTGTCTAAAAATCTTGAGGAAAGAAACAATAAGAAAAATTTGTACATTCTTAGTCGCGTTGCAGTTTTAAACCCAATCCTATTAGTCCTATTTTGCTTTTTTATTATCAAAAATTAACTAGGAAATGTCTTTCCAGGGGCTAAAACTTGTCTAATGTTTATATTTATTCGCGACGTTGCTAGATATTTTCGTAAAAGTTTGTCTTCCGTTGTCTCTTCTTCCAAAATACTCGAATTCCCAGCACAGCCGAGAGATATTTCTTCAATGTCGTATTTTGCGCGTTTGCAACGTGTTCCTGAATCTTCAGCTTGATTGCTTTCTTCGCATTTATCRCAMGAAGAAACCGAAKTTYCTTTTAGTTCTYCWGCGGTTRGTGGATTTTTAKTGTRACAAGGTTCTAAACATAATGGCAACGGCTGTTTGTCATTTGGCGCCAAGATGCGCGGGACTGCGTGATAAGCAAGACGCGAATTTCCCGCCATTACCATGATATCTCCACTGCGCATGTACATTGCGGTCGGCGCACRGTCGCGACTTTTGCCGCCAAGAAGAAAGATTGCTGATTGGCCAAGACTGAAGAGGAAGAGAAAGAAAGAGAAATGTAGAAGGTGGAAGGAAKGCATATTCGGAGCTTTTCGCTTTAAAAGAAATATAGGTAATAGAGATGACCTCTTTAAAAGCAGTAGTTCTTGGTATTAATGTTAGGTACATATTTAAATATTTTTCATAGTTATTGTTTTACATACGACTATTTTTAGTGCTGTTTTCACTGCTTCTTTCATTTGCCTTTATCTAATTATTCCTCAATATAATCTTACCTCAAGGAGAACAATGGAGCTGTCAAATCCAACTCTGAATGATCTGTATGACCACCAAGTGTTGAGTCAAGATGATAGTAATTYATGATTCCTGCCTCGGGTCGAAAGCTGACACAAAACAAGATAATATAATGTAAATAGTGAAATGAAATARAGAGGAAATTAGTTTAACTCACTCATTGAATCCTAGAGTTTCTGCAATTGTCACAAATAGTGAAGAAAGATCAGGAGGAAATGTTGAATGTGCATCTGGGCTGTAAGTCTGACAAATAAAATCAATAGAAATTATACATGTACTTGATGACATTTAAATTGACCAATATTCAATTCTCAAAGGAAAAAAAACACACATTTATAGAGTCTCAAAACATTGACTGTGAAACAATTAGTTTCTTGTTTTGAAGTTCATTCCATTGTTGGATCCCAAGAGAAATTTCCTGTGTGCCCAACAAAGAATTCCTACACACAGCGTACTACTATTTATTGTGTGTGCAACATACCTTCGTATTCCAGTCATAATGATAACCAAGTGTCACCCATCTTTGTTTATATAACAGAGATGATTTATCAAACTCACTATAATCAAAGAATACTTTAATTGTTATATGTAACAGTGAAGTAGTAGGAAAAACAAATGAATTAAATTTCTACCTGGTGAGACAGGTATCCCATATGCTATCTTTAACCTCATTGTGCGCATCAAGGTTAGAAACATTGGGTTTACATGGGTACACTTGAAGACACTTCCTAGTCAGCTCCCATTGAAAWCCTTCAAGGAATGGATTTGTAACAAATAGAAATCCTAAAGAGAAGGAAAAATATTTTGATTGACATACTTTTTGCAAGCATACACACAGGTAGCCCACATCACATTAATGTTGTGGCGACTTACCAGGAAAGTCATTTAAAGAAAACACTTTCCATTCTACAGAATTTCTGAGACCAATTCCACTTAAATCTTTATTTTCAGAAGTGTTCAATTCCACAGAAGAAACCTATAAAACACAAATATCAAATTCTTAAAGAATGTTCAACATGCAATAAGTACATTAAATAACTTAAGCTTAAGTTAATATTTCAGTTTTAATATGCACCTTCCCTCGCCACTTTTCTGGATCTTGGAAGTCAACAACTTCAGACAAGTCCGGGGGAGGTTTTCTTTGCTTGTAACGCTTAAACTCTTTTYTGAAAGGGTCCATAGAACGCCATTTACAACACCATTTCAACACAAGCTTCCACCATTTTGATCCTAGTTCCCAGRAATTTTTTAAAGTTTGCGCGCCAATGTACACCTGAGGTGCCTGTACTTTAGTCCAGCAGTCCTCTGCTGTTATCAACAAGATGGCGGCGTTGTGGCTATTATAAAGTTTCTTTGCTCTTTTACTGGCTATCTATGTTATAAGAGTATTAAATATGGCTTCATTGGATGAAGATAATGATTCTTCAAGTAGCTACGAAAGCGAACCAGAGGAAGAAACTTTCGATTCCAAAGAAGACAACGATGAAGTGGTATGTGACATGAATTKTTTTCACGTGGTGTTGGCCTGATAAGTTTATAAACATTTTGAAATAACTTTTTCCCTTGATATTTCAGGATCATTTAAAGAAAGGTGAGTCTTATAAGTTGCAGTTTTTAATCACATTCCATTCAATGATTTTATAACAATCTTTTCCCTTTTAGAACTATCACATATTCCATTTTGTGAGCTGCAAGATTTGAGAGATAAGGTTGGATCTAAAAAGTAAGTTTTATATTCATGCACCACATATTAAGATTTATTGTGCTTGTTGCTTTTATGGATTGTAATGAAAGCCTGTTTAAAACATTTAAGTTTTACCCAACTGCTAATAGATCTTGATCTTTTCCTTTTTCAGATACAACCAAGCAATCCATGGTGTCCTTGAAGAGAGAGAGGGTAAAACCARAAGCCCGGATAAAAACAAAAAGAAAAGCAAAAACAAGTAGGTTTTCATTACATGACTTCTTTTGTAATGCATTCTTGCTGCTAAGTCAATGTCACTGACCATAACACATCTTGTATTTTGATATTAACATTATTATTAATAGACCAATGGAAATGTCATCAAAACAGAAAATCCCRAARCTRAGAAAAGTTGTTGCTTTAAAMAAGAAGGCAAGTAACAATTTTTWCATKTATTCAGTGATATTATGCGCAGGACAAAAATCTAATGACCCATTTTAGGATGTCATAGAACACAAAGAGAAAATCCTTACATGCRCTTTGTCTTTACAGGCAGCCAGAGATCCACGGTTTGATGACATCTCAGGAAAATTCAATGAAGAAATGTTCAATAAAGCATATTCTTTTGTTGATGATATCAAAGCTAAAGAGAAACAGGTGCAGACTTTAATCTTCATATAAAATACTCACGACCATCCAGGACGCAATGATCATACATCATTCTCATACCCAGATCACTTTCAGTTTTCCAACTTAAAAAAGGAAGGCTCTGGTTGAAGCTGGTGCTAGAAGACCTAGAATCTTGGTCTTACATGTACAATATATGCATACTGATAGCACATGGGAATTTTCAACCATTSAAATCAAAGACTCATTTGTCTCAAACCAGAGCTTTGATTATCTGTTGGTAAACTGAGAAGGATGTGGCTACGAGAATGTAGATTATTACCTGTGAATGAATGTCTTGTAAAAGTAGGTTTCTATAATATGCTCATTACTCTTCTTGCTCCAATGCAAAGGTGTTGCTTCACTCAGAATGGTAAAGGAGACTGTTAACAATTTCCTTCAGTAATGCATGTGAACAAACTATGAAAACTATAACAACAAGAAATGATGACAATAATGGTGAATAAATGACTAACACTTTTTTGGTGRCAAATRCATYATCCATAGGATATTGAAAAACAATTAAAAAAGACAAAAAATRTGCAGAGGAAGGAAACTCTCCAAAAAGTCCTCAAAAAAATGGTAAATAACTCTCAATTTTTTATTGATAGCAAATGAGGATAAATGTTTGTATAATTAGTATAATATCTTATAAAGGATCATAGTGAAAAATTAAAGAAAGTTAACGAAAAAAGAATAGAAGAAAAAAGGGCTCGGAAGAAAGCAGAAATGGATCTAATAAAGCAAGGAAAGAAACCATTCTATCTTAAGAAATGTAAGTTTTTCATAACCTAAATAATTTAAATTCTAAAAAAGGCCTATTCCTGTTTTTGTTATAATATTTTCATATATTTTCTTCCTATTCTTTGTTATTATATTTTAATAAAAAAAAAATATTTAAAAATTTAAAAATTTGGGCTCAGTTTTGCTTAATCTTTTTTTTTTTTAGCTGAGCAAAAGAAATTAGAATTGGCAGAAAAATATAAACAATTAAAATCATCTGGAAAGCTGCAAAAATATCTCAGTAAAAAACGGAAAAAGACTGCAAGTAAAGACAGAAGACACATGCCACAAAGAAGGGAAGTTAGTCATTAGTTAAGTAAGTTAGTTAGTTATTAATAATATAATAATAGATATTGAAATGTAACTAATGATTATCTCATAAACTCTATAAACAAGACTGATTTTCAAGTTATTATTTCTATTACGAAGCCCATACCATAAATTTTAAGTTTAATCTTAAAACTCGATAAAATAAAACTTTCAAAAATGTTTTTTTTTTTTAATAATTACTTGTAAAATATTCGAATACCTACTTCTGAAATTAGAGCGAATTTCGTATGAGTGGGAAACGGACGGTACTGTACTGTGACCAAATTCTAGTGCCCCATTGGTTCACCAAAATTGTGCAGGCCAGGTCCGGTAACTGTGCGGTAACCATGCGGTAACGGTGTCCCACTCATACGAAATCCGCTCTATTAATCATGTACTTGAAAGAAATTCAAACTAACTAGGAGTAATGAGAGAGAAAAAGAAACAAAAATAAAATGTCACCGCCCGGGCTCGAACCGGGGACCTTGCGCGTGTGAGGCGCACGTGATAACCACTACACTACGGTGACTTCCGATGTAGAAATWTGAGATATTTTGTAATTTTATATAGTCTATATACTTTAGACTAACATAACGACTGGATAAATACATTTTCMTGATCTAATAGTCCTAAATTTTGTTGTTAATTTGGATTTATAAGAGTATAACTGTTCTAAACWGAAAGGAAAGTTTATTCGCCACAGGAAACCCAACACCATTACCTATCTGCAAGCTTCAGAAATTCCACGTGTTTAAATTTATCGTATTACCAATTTTATACTTCTTTTATAAAATTTTTCTGCGTTTTTCTGGCGAAAAACAATTTTTTTTTTAATTTTTTCTGCTCTTTTTCGAGCGAAAAMCGAATTTTGCCGATCTGATTATAAACATGGTCGTCAGCCAATCAGAGCGCGCGTTATATATATCAAAAATTTTATAAAACTGGATACAGCGTCAAAGCGTTTAGTGAAAACGAGGGGCTCTTATCCTATCAAAAACGTTTTGTCGAGAAGCAAATCCTTGGGTTTTTCTGCAACTTAGTATAAAAACAAATAAAAAACCTTTGATCTGAAATTGTGTCAAAAAAATCCCAGCTGATCAAAGAAGACGATTTTCGTCTGTATGGCGACCCTTGGGGAAGAGGAGGGTAAACCATTCCGTCCCCTAGAACCGCCACACGTAGGAACGTTTCAATTTCTCGATATTTCGTTTTCCTATTGTAGGCGGTCAAAGTGCGGTAAAAGGATACCTTTATTCTAACGTCATTACAAAAACAACTTCAACCACATTTTTGAACATTTATTCACTTTGCTCGCATTTATTTATATACATTGGTTTTATGGGGAAGTTAAAATTAACTTCCGGCCATGTCTTTCAACGTCATACTTTTCGATTAATAAATAGGCGATTAGTTTCTCTGGTTGCCAATCGGTACTCCAGGAAAAATATTAGTTCAAATGGATCTTTTTAATGTTCGGATGCCACAGTTTTATTGCCTGGAGGGATTTGCACCTAACAGCACAGTCTGAAAAACATTATGTCGTTGTCATGCCGTTGTGTGAAATTTCTCTTACGAATCGTGCAGCCCCGTACGACATATGCAATCGATCTGCACCGTCTTGTCGGTTGCATTTGTTTTCAATCTCATTATAAGACTGAGTTATACGAGTTGTGTACATTCGTAAGGGCTATACCAGTCGTGAATACGAATAATAAAGAACGAGGAATTGAAATACAGAGTTGTTGTTTTGCARGTACGTTTTCTCTTTCTCCATTGTTCTCTCAAATGTATGCARCCCACATGGTACACATTATTTCTTTGCCGGAAAGCCACTTTTGAAAATGCGGGGGAGCATTTTAAGTTAATTTACAGTCGCTACTTATGAATTTTGTCTGGTTTCTGAATTAATGGGCTGTTTAGTCGTATGTCTTCCTGTTGTTCACGCCAGTTAGACCACTATAACCTTGTTTACTTAAACAGCGGACCTYTACAGTCGAGACAAACAAAGCAGTCGGCTCCCCTCTCAAAGAACAATGACTTTATTTTTAATGCTYGTGATTCGTATTGTTTCACTATTTCACGGGATTATATCATCACTCATCCATATTTGAAAGAAAACTAAGTCTTGAAGGTCTTCGTTTCGCGTTGCAACCACATCCACGTCTATAGAGAATAAATGAAAACACACAAAGTAATAAAAGCAAAACTACTGCAAATGGGACCAGAATAGCCAGTCTTTCGCTGCTATAGTTGACGTCGATAACTTCATTGTCTTTGTATTTGTTGTAGTAGCATTTGATGGAAAGATTTGGACGACTTCTCAAGCTGAAGTAGTAGTTTACTTCCAATGAGATTGCCGCCTGACTTTGTTTGCAGTAAGGAACGTATGAACACTGTGAAAAAAAAAGATAAAACTGCTTAACTAATGGCGACATCAAAAGTTTKTTAAAGTTTATCGTTCGTTTCTTTGTCTATATAAATAAGCACAGTGATAAAAGAATGGGTTAACCTGCGCATGATCACATTTATGCCCGTTTTTTGGTTTCTTTTACTTAGAGAAGTCTCGAAAGATGAAAGTAAATCCGGAATTAAGAATTTAAGCCGCCTTCTCGTTATGTAAGAGGAAAGTCGCGCGACATTTTAATTTTCTTTTCGAATCAAGGGAAGAAAACATTTTGAAAGCGAATGCACTTTTAAATAWAAAGAAGTTTATATGCAAAATAATAATAAAAATGGAATTATCTTGAAGTAAACTGTTATAATTTTTAATAAGTGTACCGGTATTTCCTCTCCTATTTTAACAAAACAGTAGAATTATTCTATTATAGAAAGATAGCGGTGCARATTCGCTAATTGTTATGATTCCAAATGATCCTTTTTGTATAAATGCATAATTCATGAAAAGTTCGAGACAGGCAAAGTCAGAGAAGAAACCTGTTCATTTGTAAATATACATTTAAGTACTATGATGACTTTACTAGGTAGAAAATTCAAATTTTTCGCAATGAATTCATGCTATGGGTCTTCAAAGTTTTTGAAGAAACTTGCTCTATCGTTGTAATATCTTAAAAATTAGAACTCGTTGAAACGATTCAAACCGTTATCCTATTGTTATTACAATTATTCAATCCTGTCAAATCAGTTCARCAGTAAYGAGCAATTACTGAAGACTGCGACAAAATATTGGCAAAAASCTCAATTTTCGTAGTGTTTTCGCGGATAGTACAGCCCCTTCAAAAGACGTCTTACAGCGCTTGTTGATCTATTCAAATGTAAACAACTTTTCCTTCTTTTCATACTGTTTGTAAATATACCAAAAAAGCATTTAACATGAAAAGATTATTTATACAACTGTTTAAGGACATTATTCTTCGAACTGTATATTACTTTTGTTGTCAAAAATAAAATAATTTAAGGTAGTTTATTTTAAAACGGAGTAGACTACCTATGAGCATACCAAACAGGGGTTCTAGTCATTAGACAGCGTTGGAAGAGCTGTGGACAATTATTTTCTTACTATCTTATAAAATTATTACTCATGATTTTGAAAGCAGGTGAATTAAATTACGCGGCAGAGAAAGCTTAATGGAAAACTCATTTGTGATGCGACACCTTTCTGAATGCAATGTCGCAGCTTACGTTTTGTAATCATCAATAAAGTTATCATGAAAATCGGCGATTAGATTCAATTCTACAAACATCAGAAACAAATTGCCAGTATTTCGGCGCCTTCAAAAGATTTTATAGCACACGTTTGACAGGGAAAAGTCACAATAGGCTTAGTAGAAAAGCGTAGATATATATTGCTAATTTTACTGTTTGTTTGCAAAACAAGCTGAGCTGTCAAGAGCTTTAACACATTCAAATTATCCGATGATGAGTTTTTGTGGCGATTTTATCAGTTTATCGTTTAAACAAAGCCGTAAATATTTTATTTGATTGATCGTTATGACGACAGACCAGAAAAAAGTTTAAGATTATAGTAGGGACAGTTTTTAAGGCATATTTTTTAGTTCACAGTGGGTATAAAACTACAGAACTAACTGGTACATTAATAAATGTTATTATATTTGCCAGTTTGCATGTACCGCTACATTATTATATGATCCTATCAGGGTTTTCGGTAGATTATATATAGATCAAGATATTATTGAACTTACGTTATTGCCGGTCACTGCTTCGGAGTAGTGTAAAAGTGAGTGTTTCACGCGTTGTTGTGGAATAGTATAGTTGACGAAAATTTGAACACAAGGATACTTCTTCGGAGGGTCAGGACAAGGAGATGATGTGCACGGACACTGTTGAACACTCTCGCTAGGCAATAAAATACCCCGCGTTATTGTACATTGAGTTTCTTTGTACATAAAACTGTTTTGTACAGGTAAAACATATCCAACGTATAGTCCAATCCACACAGCTAAAAGAAAAACACCGAATAATGCCCAGAGTACATGGGAATACTTTACGTTCGCCATTCCGCAGTGAAGCGAGAGCTTCTCCGAACTCTTATGATATTTGAAGTCTGCAATTTTGACGCTCTTTTGGCGGTTCATTGAACTTTCAACTCATGAGCAGCACTTCGACTTGGTATTGGTATTAGAAATATAGCGACTTGTAAAGACTTTTTGTGCATTGAATTACCAAATCCGTCCCTGAAGTCACAAAGGTCTTGTGTAGTGTAACATGACTTCTCTGTTGAAGACTTGAGCAGATGTATTTTACTTTATACTGACGTCACGCCCTTAAAATGAGAAATTAAAATTCAATTCCTACACGTGAAAACGAAATTGTTTTGATATATCCGGGTCGTGGAATTGTTTCTTTTTGGTGACGCAGTTTGTATAGACAATCACACGGGCAGCTTGATGCTGAACTTCCTGACTTCACAACACATAGAGCAACAAAAGAGCTATATGAATAATAAAAGCTTAATTTTGTGAGKTTTGTCCGTTTGACTGACCATCCATGACTCCTCAACTCCTTATTAGAATAAATGTCTTGTCTTATCTTACTGTCTAAGTGACAATTAATTAATAGTAAAAGAAGTTTTGCGCTATCAAATTACTCCTTAGTCGTGTGAACTATACCAAATCTACTCAACAGCTGTAATTTTAGATATTTTTATGTTCTTCTGAAGACAGAATCTGTTGATAAAGTATCATTTTAACATCTTTTCTTGGCAAAACACTCCAAGCACTTGTTCGTTGCCRGTAGTAACTGAACGTGATGGGAGCCTGTCTATTGTTTACATTTCCAATCGCAAAACTATCTTTCAATTCCATTGCGCTTCCATGTTTTGCGTAAAAATAGWGTCATTATGTCATCATTGTTGCTYCATCGATCTGATAAAATTTCTGCCAAAGACGTGGCCGATTGATGMAGAAGCCAYKGTTCGGCTGTCATCTTTTTAGCTGTCAAATTATTACCTCAGGATCGGTATCGTTTGGAATATTCACATATTAAACTGACTCTGTGTATTACAACAATATGTAATCAAGTTTCTATTTTTACATGATCTTCCGCAGGAATTACATTTATAATTTGTTTTCAGTTTAGTGTGCCCCATCASTTTATTTATGTTTTCCTATTTTGACCATTATATTATAACTCTACGAATTTTTCTTTTTCCTGTTATATACTTTGTGATCCACACTTTTCTTTCGGTCTTGTACTTTTCTTAATGTTTTTTTTTTTTGAATACATTTACTTCCCAGCCAGGAGAGTCTCACCACAACGAGAGAGACTCGACTAGCAGGGAACTTGTTTACTTGGCGTAGACAATCAAAAAATAATTGCCTTTCATAAAGGAAATGCTAAAGAAAGCATAAAGTACAAGGCTCGGTGGCATTACAACAGAAAGGATGGACCTGCTACAAAAATTGTACAATAATTGGATGGAAAGAAACGTGAAATAAAGCAAGGAAAAGTTATTAGAGGCTTAAAAGACGCATATATGCGCTGAAAAAGTGAAAGGTTATCAAATAAAATTGGCCAGTTTTCATCCTCCACACCTACAAATATACGACATTGCCACTTAACATTTGCGCATAAGACGAGCACGGCTCTTCAAATCACTTATTATTTTCGTGTTATTAAACATATTACATGTATTATTCCTTTTAATTGACACGTGAATATGCCACCGACTCCGTGTATCCCAATGGAGTAGCATTATTTTTAAGCTGGGAGTTTTTTTGTCTACCATTTCAGCATACTGTATGATGAAACGCGTTCATAATATCATTCGAAGTATGAATGACCGTAGTACTAAAGCCTGGATTACAGCTCACAAAAAAAACATTATCTTACGCAAGCAGAGCTATTATCATGTATAATCCTATGATAAAATGGATGCCATTTTGAGTAGTCCGTTTCAAAACCGGATATTATTACTGAAAGAACTTTCCCGCCATGCAGTTCACAATGGCAAGGATCCAGAATCTTAAAGGGGAATTCATCTTCTCAAAATAATCCACTGGGCATTTCAAGAGGGCTTCGCTTTCTTAATTTACTAAAATAAATCGTAAACAACACCAGGATGTGTTTCTTAGACTTCTGTGATCCCCGCCCTGCATCAAACACCGCGTTGTACGAGTATTTCGAAACTTACAGGGTTGAACAGTAAGTTTTAACGTAAAAAACCTCATCAGTGCGCGCGTTTACATCAATAAATGTYACTTTGAAACTGTCTTAGGCAGCTTTGTGATAACTGTGACGAAAGTGATAAAATTGTGAATCATGATATTTTTTTTCTAGAATCATCACACAACCACACCACATGGTGATTTCAAAATATTTTTACATATAAAAAGAATAAGAAGAAAACAGACTCCTTAGGATGTTTTCTTGGGTGACTTGGTTAAGGAAAAGCTTCGGGATYGCGGAAAAACTAAAGATACATTGATGGGAATGACGATGGTTTTCAGAGTATAAATAGAATGGAATCATGTTAAAACAGAAATATAAAACTCCTTGTCGCTAATTTCTTTGGTGAGAGGATTAAAATTGGATTACTTGGGATTGCAAGCCAGAAAATGAACGGGTTAAGAGAGATAAACAGAAATTTAGGTATTAAAACGCAWACGAAGGAAAACAGCTGTCATATAGCTTATCTCTTACGCACAACACAAAAAGGTGCAAAAATTACTCATCAAGTAATCTTGAACTGTCGCCAGTTTTTSTAGTCGTCAGTGACGTCATATATTTTGTGACGTCATGGAAACACTAAATAAAACTTCTTTTTTTAGATATTACAAGGTGATTTCGAGGGGATACAATTTTGAATTGAAAAAATAAAAAATCAGGTTAAATTTTTGGTTTAGGGGACAGAATTCTAAACGAAGTAATAATTATTCAAACAATAAATTAGTTCTTTTGTAAAACACCTCTTTTAGCCCGGCGTCATTTTGRATTGTGGCAACTGAAGTACTGCGCGTTTTAAACCTTGGCAAGAGTTTCAGTATTCGGAGAAGATTCAAATCAAGGTTCTACAATCTTTACACGTTTTTTACGCTCGAATTTTATTCTGAATACAGTAATCCATTACTCATGTTGAAAATCGTATGCCATTGGAATATTAAGGCACGAAGTTAGTTTTGCTAKAGTCAGCAATGGCCGTGTTTTTAACAGGAAAGCGGTCGCACCGTCCCGCGCAAGCGTGGATTAAGTTCTTTACACCGAGAAATGTCGTCGGCYCAGATTTGCTCGTCCAATGACGCACAGGGATACCAATTTATATCATTCATTTTCAATCGGTTTCAAATTGGGCAGTCGTAAATGCAGTATCTCGTCTTTGGARAGAAGCGCTCATCTGCATGCTTCCCACTTTATTATGCCGTATCACTGGACTTCCAATACACGACATAAATTTCCATTTGTACAAGAAAAAACAGTTTATAAAAGCAAGAGGAAAAAAGAAAAGTACCACACTCAAAACGAAAACGATGAACTTTACTTTGTTACTTTCTCGGTTTTCAGCAACGACGATTGTAGGTTTTTTTCGGTCGTTTACAAGACATGTCACATTAGAGCCAACCTTTCCTTKTTGTTGCTTGAAGAGAAGACATCTTGATGTGGTATTTTGTGAGTTGTTCGCGCAAAGCTTTCCAACAGGATAGTAGGAGCACTAAAAAAATAAAAACTTTATCAAAATCATGCGCATAAACTTAGTTTTTTAATGAAGTGATATTACTCAACACTGATTGGTGCGTTGATCGAAATCCAAATGACGTCATGGCGGCCATATTGCTTTACAACAACATGGCTGCCATGGTCTCTTTGTTCTTTGTTTTCATGTAACTGAAATAACCGAGACCAATATARCGCAATGGTTGAATAATGTACTCCAACAGAAAAAGTAATCACTGTAATAATAAACAACAGTGAAGTTGCATCAGTTTTGCGGAACTGAATCAGTAGAAAAAGCAGTTATGTAAAAAGATAAATTTAACACCGTAAAAAAGTATGTGGAAAAACTTACTGACGTTTCGGATGTTAATCCTTCGTCGGAGTCAGTAGAAAAAGCTCCGAGGCAAATACATTTTTGGGGCTACTACCGGAATTTATCAATCTAGGCCCAATCTATTTTTATTGAATTCAAAATAAAAGGAAAACTCTATCAAAACAAAAACTAGTTAATATTCATCAGCAGATCGAAAATGAGCTCAGGTCGAAAAYACACATTTACGTTTTGGGAAAACTATTCAGGCAACCGACATTATTCTGAATTATAGATAACTATAAGTATTCATTATTATTATTATAAAACCTTTGCAACGTATCGAGTTGAGTGGAGTAGCATACGTAGCAAAGGTTTTATTTAACAAATAAATAAGRCTCAGCMGTGGTTTATACTCTCATAAACCACACTTTTTTGSCCAATCAGAGCGCGCGTTAGAAATCATCTATATAATAACATATAATGAATATTTATAATTATCTATAATTCAGAATAATGTCGATTTCAAACTTTGTATATGCAAGAATAAGGTAACAGTATACGAATATAAGTCGAGTAACGATACAAAATCTGATCTGGTATTAAATGTGACCTGTCGTCTAAGTTTTCCGCTTTTCGTTATTGACTTTTTTAAGCCTTCCTGCTTTCTCAGAAGCTAAAATTGCGATGTTTTAATTTTAAATGTCAAGCAACTGKAGTTAGTCTGTTCAAGTTGATTTGTGCTCTCTTTGCGCTGCGAGTGCGAATCAAAAACATGATTATTTTTAATTGACWGACCTTGGAAGAAAATGTATAGCTTGTCAGGTCTTTATACAGTATCAGCGTTTTCCCCCAAACCGAGTTATTCACTTTAACTTTGATGACGACACAAGGGTAAACATAAGTGCACGATAAGCCTTCTTCATAGCACGCGCATTTTTCAGATTCACTTATAATTTCACTGCTTACTATATTACAGTTTGCCCTTTCAAAATTGTTATCAAGCGTTGACGGGAAGACATCGTATTTTGCCCATACACCAAAGACACCACCAGTAATTGCAGTTATTAACGATGTACTTAACACCATGACTATCAGAGGATGGTTGTCTGTATTACACATGTTTCTGATGGCTTAAAACCACTAGTAGCCCAACCAAACAAAGAGAAAATCAATGCAATCAGATGTCTTGCCTGTACRCAGTCGACGGAATGCGCCCTTTTGACATGTTATACTATATCCGTACGGTAGTTACCACGGTGACCGTCGACCGAAAAGTCGTCATCAAAAGATTTTCAGCGCAGCTCTAAGTGGTTTTCAATTAGACATGACAATATCAACTACTTTCAGTAAAGATTTCGTGAAYCACTGGGAGAAAGTGGTGTTTATCTTTCGGTAATTTTTGCCTGTCAGTTGATTGGTTGGTTATTTCAGGACCTACACAGACACAATAAATCCAATAATGCCGCTTTAGATGACCAAAAACATAGCTGTGATATACGTACATACAAAAATAAAAAAATAATAGGTGTTTTACGAATGTTATATGTTCTAATGGACCAATTACTCATAGTAAACTGATAAAGAGCAACTAAATATCAGCCCGGGTATGATATTGATAAACTATTTATAGTTCGACTATATAAAGGGCTCCATAATTTTCTTAAAAGTCACCTAAACGTAGAAGGGGCAACACTGGGTAACCGTAAACCCTTTTGTCCCCCTGTATCTAATGATTTCAGCTTTTGAACTCAAATTTACCAAAACGTTCAAGAATTTCAGACAAGATAACAGACAACCCCGCTATGTCGTGAGCTACCATCATCATCTACTTTCTATCTTCTTCCCAATTTCCAAAAGGAAGAGTATAGGGAACTGGGAGTGCATGAAACATACCGCGTGAACAGTGTAGGCACTCGTTTGCTCATGCGCGATTTGAAACGCAATTTAGTCAATATGGGAATGTACATGTAAACAGCGCGCCGCCATTACATGTAAAGCGAAAAGAAAAAAAACACGACTTACAAGTTCATACTTGTCATCAATTCAAAACATTGAAGTCAGCCAATCAGCACCCTCTATGACGTCATGACATTTCCCTGCTCGACTGGAGAGTTCTCTTCTCATCACGCATCAAAAAGATAGAGAAAATCTCGAGACTCAAAATGCAATTCATCCAAGCACCTCCGGCCGTAAGGCAATCTCTCTGTTCACGAGGTTTTTGGACAGCCTCGCGATGTTATCGATGTACAGCGAGCTTTGCGTTTTTCGGTCTCGTACTTCTGATTCTACTTGGTATTTTCATCGTCGGTCCAGCAATCGACGGCTTGAGCTTGAAGCCCGCAACTTGTACAGTACAGAACACAAAGATGTCAGATAAGGCGCAAAGTTGTAGCTGTGGGAAATATTGCAGCAGTTCGTTCCCCTGCTTGAAGATTTATGTCAGTTATAAGCCGAAAGGACAAGATAAAAACGTGTCGAATGTTCTACTTCACGACACGGTTTATGAACACAACGACTACAGCCAGGTTGGTATTTAGTCCGCTTTTATATCGTTTTAATTTTCTAGATCTGTTTAACATATTGAGCTTAAAAAAAAAAACAAATCAAATTTCGAGGAAATACCGAAATAAAGCAATAAAATTTTTAAAGATTTCAACRATTTTTATCGCAAAACTATCAATGAATTTTTATAATCGATCGAGACCTCTGTACTATATYTAAAGTGCGCGCGAATTTATATTTTTCAAGGTTTCTTATTAGCCAAGCACAAAAAACGCCGATGACTCCAAACAGATTGATTAAATTGGATTTTGTGGATGAAGTTAGGAAATATAAAATGACACCAACTGTCTTCCTTTTTGACAGGATGTTTTGAAAGCCGAATTTTCTCGTCATGTTGCGAACTAAAAGTGAATTATTTATTTTGCTCKCTCATCAATATATCATGAATATAAGTCTTGTTTGTTATTTTTTTTCGAAAGACGCAAACTGCATTTAAGAAAAAGAAATGGTTGACCTTGAACTTTAAATTCCGCGGCGCTAAAAAGTAAATTTGTTTCTCTTTTTTCTGACTTGTATGTAAATATTACCAAGGTTAATACACTTCGTTATGTTTCGAAGACATTGTTTCAGTTGAATGAGGTTCGGCACAATTCTCAAGTTGTCAAAATTCACACCTTTTAATCCTCTTAATACAAAGCCCAATAATTGTCGTCAGAAAATTGAAAAATATTTGTGAAGAGCTTTTCAATGGCATCACTTGGTGACGAAAAACATTGGCCTACTTTCGGTAATGTTGTCACAGCAGTGTTTTCAATGTTCTTAGAATTGGCCAGAGGATTCATTCAAGAGTGTTTATTCAAAATAACTAATTTCAAAACTAATTTYAATGAAAATTTTAAGTTTTAAAATTAAAAACTTTGATATTTCATATATATAAGATTTTTAGTAAGTGTCCTCATATCTGCAAAAGCCGGAAGTTTCCAAACTCATGAGCACAGACGAAGTGTATCAAGTGCTCTTATTGGTGCATGATGAATGATATTAATTTAAAAGTAGTTCTAATCCCTAACCTTTTTTTAACAGTGTTCAACAGCACCATGTGAACGAAGTCAAGATATCAACAAAATGAGAGTCAAAGACTTCGAAGATAATTATGGTCGACCTGGTCAGCGCTACCCATGTTATTATAACTACAAGAAACCACAAGAGGTTGTAACGACAACTGAAAATTTCAAAATGGCAATTCTTCACTGCATATTGTGGCCAACACTTTTAATAGTGTCAATGATTGGTATAATGGTTGGCATGTACCTGTACAGGAACAGAAACACACCAAGCGATGGACAGGAGGTCCACCTAGTTTGGGATTAAAACATTCAACAATTAGTCCYCTTGTGGACAAAAAAATGCACACTACAATTGTTTCCAAAATGGTTGGAACAATTCACAAWTTTTTTTCRGATTATAAAACATYGCACAAACAAATCTTTCACTGCTTAAAGAATCMCAACCAAYCACAATACAGCGCACTCTCATGTTATTGTTTACGTTTAAATGCGTCAAGCATACAATAGAYTATAGCTTGATAGTACCTGTGAGGTACTTAGTTAAAGATATTTCTGTCCAAACTTAAAAGGATGGAAGACGATTCGAATAAGCTTATACATCATTACTACAACAACATTAATTTTCAGGGGGGTAGGGTTTTTTCAATGCTTTAAAAGTAAAGYGWCCTGTATATTAGCCATATTATATAGTCTAACTTTGACAACAATTGTAGCTTCCAATCACTTCCAAAAAAAAGCAATAGCCTTTTATATTGTTCCCCAGATCACTACTGATAAAGCATCACATGCTATTGGTTGATATTATAACACATTTGTCAACCTTGAAAAATTCACAATGGGTTTCCTAGAGGAATAGTCAGACGTTTGGTATTATCTTTAATGTAACCATGAATTTTTCTTTAAAAATCATGAGAAAACTAGATACTGGTATATTCCCAAAACCTTACAATTTTGAACTTATTTATTGAGCACTGGGTGTATATTAATAAGGGTGCAAAATAATTTCAAATTATTATAATTATTAGTTAAAATATAGTTTTTAAGGGAAAAACGTTTTTGTATAGACAGTATATAATTATTATGATACTTTTCATTGTTTGGATTCAACTTTTTTATATATTCTTGTTTAGCATTCCCTGCTGGCAGAGTCTAAGTCTTGTTGTAGTTTCCAACGAATATTAGTCATTGGGAGTTAGAACTGCAATTTCTTACAAGAGTGTTTTGCAATACTAAGATGTCGATCTTTTGCCATGTCAAATGTAATAATTAATATTGCTTGCCTGTAGATTACGAGAACTTTGCATTATAAATTAATTGACATTTACAAATTATATTGATTTCTCCTTATACAAGAAACTATATTAATAAAATTAGAGTATGTAATACTCATTAACTAAACTTCAGCAATATTAGCGGCAATACGATGTGAACTGGGACCAAATCTCTGTATAAATATATATCGCCATTGGTATTTCAAAAGTGGGGTATAAAAGTGTCTAAAGAACTGAGCAAAAAAATCTGAATGCGCTTGTTTGTTTTCCCATTCTAATCCAGCCTACAGTGGTTACAGTCAGTATRCATACAAGAATTTAATTCATGCTTACACACAACTTAATATATCATTATCAATGAGAAACTATTTTTTAAATGGTTATAAAAGTTCTTAACTTGTTTTTAGACAGAAGTAACCCTGTGATCTATTGAAAGCTAAGCTTTCTTCAATATAATGAAAATAATTCTAGCTACTGGTAGCTCCKTATTGCTTCACATTACATGTAAATGGTATGCTTAATGTGCAATAAAAACAATCATCAATATTCATCATTATTGTAAATCATTATTGTATTAATCATTATTATGAATTATTGTTATTGTCATTATTTATAGTTTTAGAGTGCACACTGGTAGAGTGAAGTCAATGAACCCGTGAAATACATATTTGACTATTACATGTTATTACTCGATAATTCCATTGTTTTCTTTTGTGTCTATTTGACTATTACAGTTTAATTATTAACTTTTATTTCACAGGATCAATGCCTTCACTCTAGTTAATCTATTAAACAATATTCTTTCACGGCTKATTATTTTTTGGTCAGCACTGTTTAGTAGTAATTACAGTTCAACTACTTATTTCACAGTCTGAATAAGTGTTTGCACTGAAAGCATTGTATTAATTTTACTTATTCATATACTTATTATCTTAATTCTACCTTAAAATACAATTATTATGCAGTTGTACCAACTTCGTAGTTTCCCATTTCTTTTCCATCTTTCATCGYTTTCAAAGCTGAGTTATTCTCACAGAATACAAATCTTTAGATACTTCTACTGGAATAAATATATTATGGACCATTTGGTCTCACCTTCGGTAATGGTGAGTGTTCCACATACTTTCCAACAGGCACATAATCTATACCTCCATACCCAAATGCACTTGGACCCACTACAGAAAGGGCMCTGGGTGTGGTCCACTTCTCACTACAGCACATTGCCAGTACAGCCACTCTCAAMCCATACCGTACTTCCTCTGTAGGTATTGGCTGACCTGTCTCTGAATCAACCAATGATATCAGATCTGGTACACAGGCTTGCACATTTTTAGTGCCGTCATTGTTGACAAAGTAGGCCAAGYAGTTCTCATTTTGGAACTCAACTTTCAAAGGGTTTCCTTTCTCYTGTGTGGACGATTCAACAGTTATAGTACCCTTATCAAAGCCATGCCCTGATTGACGTTCAACAGCAGATATCTGAAGTAAAATGTCAGAGTTATTAGAGCCTTATATTTTGCCCTAAATATCTGAGATGTTAAAGAAATGATGGTTGACAGCTAAAATGTCAAGTTTGATATATATACACACAATGTACATGTAAAATGGTCAAAGATTCACACACAGATATGTCACCTTTCCTGTAAACAAAAGTTTTCCTCCTTCATGTTTGAGAATGGCTTCAACTGGTTGGAGTTTGTCTTTTCTTGCTTGTAAAATTGCTCTTCCTAATCGCCATATCCGACTCAARGTGTACTTAACAAACGTTTGATGGACATCCTTTCCARAAAATTTWAATGCAATTCCAGCTGAGCATCTGTAGATTGGAAGTGTTATATTATTTGATTATTATACAAAAATGACAAAGRAGTTGTATACTCCCTCATATCTATTAATTTTAGGTATGAAATGATACATAAAAGGTCATAACACAATTTGCAGTACCTTGCATGGACAACATAGAAACATATAGAGCACTGWCAGTTCACACAAGTAGTATAATTTCAATGAATTAATGTGCTCAACATTTGKTAAACAAATGTTTGAAAGAGTCAAATACTCCTAGAAACAGCATGGATGCATGCCCACTTTATTGCATTCTCCTATCCCATTCCCCAAACAATCAACTTCTTTTTCATTYAAAAATATTACATACATACCCCATATGAACACAAACTATTCTGAAATAATTTTCAAGTTCTTTWGATGATGTCACTTTAGCCATTGCAAGTGCATTGCCCTTTTCATCTGCTATTCCTGCAGGAAAGGGCTGGCAACCATAAACAAACGGTGAAATCATTTGCAGTTCTGGAAATGCTCTCCCCATTCCATCTGCATCTACCACAGGAATCCCAAGTTCAGCAGCTACAACAAGTGGTGCTATTGAGTTCATGCCACCAACCTCTGCACATACCACAGCCGCAAATGGCTTCTCTAAATCAGACTTCTGAAATTGATAATTAAAAAAATTGATAATTACAATGCGTATTGAAAGCAACAAATAATATACTATTTTGAACAATAMATTCTGCAGGATATAATAATTATACCTTTTTCAAAAAGGGTCCTAACACTTTGGATGCCTCAGAGGTCTCAAATCCTGATGGTAATTTTTCTATCAAGATGACAGGAGCTCCCATGAAGGCCACAGCTACAACAGGATCTGTTTCCAAAAGACTAATAATGAATGATAAAGTTTTAATTATTTAATTGGATTATGCAGATTACAGAGAACATGAAGGGCTGTGACACATGGTACCAGTAAATAAAACAATACCTGTCTGGATGAATTACTCTGATTTTCTTGCCAGACCTTATAAGCTGTTGTATACCTATTTTTCCAATGTATGGACTCCCACCCCCACCGCAGCCAAGAATACCAGCACCAATAGCCATGCATTCTACATCAAACTCACTTAAAACCCATTCTCCAGTACTCTGGTCAATGTAGGGTTCAGTTTGACTGTCACGTTCATGTACTTGTTGAGGAGTGGAAGGGACTGAATTCTTGTTGTTTCCAATAACTTGAGATTTRTCACAGTGACTTGGGTTATCAGTGTTACCACTGYGAGGAGGATGTGACGCTGTTGTTGTTTGAGTTTCTCTCAGAATAATATTGTTCACTGTTATGGCRACATGATGTATCATTAGAGGATAGAAATGATTGTGTAGTTGTTTATATTTCTGGCATAATCCTTTTGTCATTTGATCATCTTCTAACAAGAATAATTGACTGTTTGAACTAAAGCAAACAACTTCAAAAAAACAATCAATAATATATTTTGATATTAATAAAGATTAGAATTGAATTTGTTGATAAACACAGAGCTTTATTACAAATGTGTCATCAGATTATATTTGTCTATAGTAGATRTATTTGATACCTTTTGCATTTTCCTTGTCTGCATGGTCAGCTAGATCTCCAACAGTCTTCACTTGAATCCTGGTCACATTTCCTGGTAAATAGGCCAACTTAACAGCCATTTTGTCAATGGTTTCAATACTTTCAGCCTTTGCGCCATTTTTCTCTGCTTCTTGGTATGCCTCAGCAACTGCCTCATTCATCACCTGTGCCTCAGTTKTTTGTCCAAGGACAAATACTTTATCAACTACTCCACTGACTTTACCAAGTGCTGCTCCAACAGCATTGGCAGCCTGCAAATAAGACATAACAGCAAACCATAGTAAGCCTGCATGAAAGCTGGTCTTGTCTTCTTGTTACATTGATGTACATGTAATATAATTATGCTTGGATTTTACAACATTCCCAATGGATCTTTGAATATGTGTGTTAATCTAAAAACCCATTTTTGATATTTTGGTTGAATTATCATAATCTAAGTATATACAGTCGAAAGAATTGAATTTTTGATGCTTTGCTGAGCCTCATCTTCAATGCTTTTTTGCTTGGTTTATAGTCAAAAGAGATCTTGAATGTGGGCTATGATAGATTGTCCACAATATTAGGTGTAAGACAGTGTGCTCTCCACATCTTTGGTCTAATAATATTCAAAATAATTCTTCTAATACCTATATTTAAGTAACATTGTAATATTTTACCTGGAAATAAGCAGGCTTSATAAAAGTGGAGGCACCTTTGAGTTGCAAGTTGCAGTCAATAAGAAYCGAGCCACCACCAACAAGTATAACAGGTTGGTCTTGACTACTAATCTGTCCACACAATTTATACCACAGTTAAGCACAGTAAAATACTTTTCATAATATATTCTATGCCTCAGTTTTCCAAACACATGTGGCAAAACACAACTTARTAAATGTTTTTTGTGTTTATCATTCAAAAATCTAACCTTAACTTGATCAATRGCATCTTCCACCATTTTCTTAATAGTGCTGAGTGCAGTTGTTTTCAAATCTTCTGAGATGTGAGAGACTTTCTCTCTGTCACCAATGTTGCACAGAAAACCTGCTACAGCAATGTCAGTAGCAGTCATAACATTTCCACCAAAAACCAGGGCTTCTCTGTCTAGTTTATATCCAACACTTTGTGGACCAACAGTCACTTTGCCCTAAACATATAAGTACAGAGTGAAGGAGATGAACCTTTGGAAGGCACCGGTGATTGTATAGGGACATACAAATTTGCTATGGATTGATTTTGCTCTTTTACAAACCAAATCACAAACAATATTATTCAGGCTAAAAATAGGTGATGTGATCACATACCGTAGTTTCATCTTGTAAAACTAGAGATCCCCCTCCTAAGCCAATACTAAGTACATCAGGCATTCTGAAGTTGGTATTTACRCCTCCAACCTTTATTCATAAGACAATTCATATTGTTACAATGTCACTCTGCTGTTTGGTTCAGTTGAATGGAAAMATGGGTTTTGAGAAAGGGTATAAATAGATGGACAGATGGGAAGAAATGGGAGGATACAAAAATTCAATGACTAATCTACATACCTTAACTCTAGTAGAAGACTGCCTTGGGAATCCATTGCACAACACACCAACATCAGCAGTTGTACCACCAATATCAACAACTATTGCATCATGTAGATTAGAAAGATGAGCAGCTCCTCGCATACTATTGGTTGGTCCTGATGAAAATGTGAAGACTGGAAGCTCAGTGGCTCTYGAAGCACTAGAAGAATATGAATTTCAAGAAGCAATTCTAAAGCCTTGAAGACTGACAGCTGCTTATACAGACAAACACTYAAGAAAATGCAGGAACACGTAAGTCTCGAACAATGTATATTTTGGAACCAACCTTACAATGGTTCCATCATTTTGAGTCAAGTAAAATGGACAAGGAAGACCAATTCTTTGCAAAGCACTTTCAAAAGCACCAACTGTTCTAACACACAATGGCTTTAAACTCTCATTGAGTATAGAGGCATTTTCTCTTTCTAGAAATCCAATCTGCCCCACATCATGGGATACAGTGATGCTTAGATCAGGGTTGGTTTGACGGATAACCTTTTTAACCTGTTYTTCCTGGTCGGCATTTACTGAAGAGAATACTCCTATTATCACAACATTTCGTATACCTGATAAACAAAAAATGCAATGCGTTATAAATGTCTGATATCAAACCAAAGTGGTGTATTACAAATCTGGCTCAAATAACTTCCAGGCAAGTCATCATAAGACTAGTCTGTGTAGGCACAGAAAACCCTAGAAGCTCAAAGAGAGTTTGGATTGATTGATTGATCCTTTGAATATGTGAAACTTATTGAGTTACATAATAAATGAACGCATGAATAATTAAGTAATGGACAATTTCCGGGGCTTAACCACATGACTAAAAACTAAGACATAAACAATTTTTGAAGCTTATGGATACATTGAATAAACATCCCTCTACCTGCTTTTACAATTTCTTTGGCAACTGACTTCACTTCTTCGTCATCAACCTCTGAAATGATAGTATGCCCATCATACTCATATCCCCCATTTAAAAAGAAGTATGGACCAGCAATAACCCTTCTTAAATCATCAGGAAAATCTGTAAATGGTGGAACACTTCGTGAAGCTGGACCACATAGCCGCAGTACTGCTACAGGCACAATGCCTTTTCTCTGAACCAATGCATTGACAAAATGTGTAGTCCCAATGTTAACGCGCTGTACTTGGTTGATGTTATATCCTGAGGGTAAATCATTAATGGTCTTTCTTATAGCTTTCTCAAGTCCTGAAGTRACATCTTCTGTGGTTGGAGTTTTAGCTACRCAGATGACTTCTGATTGCTTAAGGATGATAGCATCAGTGTTAGTACCACCAACATCTACGCCAATTGTTAGTGACATGKAGTTTCTGGCAATTTAATGTTTTTTCATTTAGTAAAATTCATGTTTTTCAGATCAATCATGTTATGGCTAAATAGCTTGATTAAGTGACTACTCCAGAAATGCACAAAGCAATTTGTCTAGCTAAACATTTGTCATGGTAGCTTTCTTTAGCAGTTGTTCCTCAGTGTCAATGGTGTTGTTTTGCCTTCTCTTAGGTAATATACACTGCTCATAGCACTTATTGTCCTGATATACCCAAGTCAGGACAAATTTATCATTAGTTTGTTTGTTTTTGTTTATTGTTGTAATTACTCCAGTTTCGAATTCAAAGCGAATAWCCGCTGTTTTATTTGACAGCAGATTCACGAGTTGCTTGTACTATAGCGGTAACAATTTACATTTTCCCCGAGTTGAGGCTAACCCTGTATTCCCAGAAGGTTCATACCTTAGGTCTCATGGGAATACAGGGTTAGTCTCAACTCGGGGAAAATGCAAATTTTGAAGTCTATTGTAATAAAGACATTTTCTCGTGCTCTCTTTTGTGTTTGTAAGGTCTTTGCGCAAGAGAGAATCTGTTGTCAAATAAAGCAGCGGTTTTGCGCTATGAATTCGAAACTGGAGAATTGTTGTCTTACTGTTATAGCTCATAAATCTACTCCCCACAGAGTCCACCAGCTAAATTGTGATGGCTGCCTACCTTACAAATTGATCAATATAGAAACAATGCTATCCTATCATTTTAAGGTCTATTTTGATGAAAAATTCCGGTTTGAACAAAGTTCTAAAATGTAATATTAATTAGTGCCTATTTTGTATGGCATCCTCCAGATTTTTAATTCAAAAAACCATTACAAAAACCTCTGATGAAAGAGAATATAGACACTTACCAATAATGTTGTTCACAATGTTGGAGCTATGTAATTTTGCAAGACCCCCGACACTACACTCCTGGTCGACAAGAGTTTAATAACTTATTTGCGCTATTAACTCCGAGTCACGTGTTCTACAGTGTTTGAGTATGGGATTCCTGTGGTGAATTTGAAAATTTCACATCTTAACAAGTGTTTATTAGTTCCTTCAAAGACGAAGTCCTACATTTTTGTTTCTATGTTTCTGTACCATTTAGCAAGGCAGTGAAGGGCATGGCTGGTTTTCACTGGGACATAAGCATGAGCTGCACTAAGTCAAGCATGCGGCATCAGAGATCGAATAATCATAGAAATCATATTAAAGCGTTAAGAAAGAATAAAACTCATGAAAGACAAAAGATAATTCAGTCTCTAAGGGTATGCACATTATTTATCATGAGTGGGGTTGAGAATCCAGAGGAGGGGGCAATATCTAAGGGCAACTTCTAAAATAAACTAGAACTTTAATTGGAAAAAATAGTGCAAAACTTGTCGAGAAAAGCGTGCCTAAGCGTGCCACGATTTGCGCCAACTCTTTATTTGCGAATAATAATAAATAAATATATTCAAGGGGGAGCAGAGCGTAATTTATTTTGATTGCGAGGGGGGAGGGGTAATAATTAACATTTTTGATTTTTTGCCGGCTCATGTCAACCCTCCCCCCTCCTCCTTTCTCTCCTGATAAATAGTGCACAGTCCCTTAATCMCTATTTCAATTCCCGATTCGTAATCGGTACCCATCAGATTTACAGTAACCCCCTGATTCAGCAACCAATATGGCAGTGTGTATGGGTTGGTATTATCACAATGTGTTTTCCTCAGTCACGGCGTTCTCTTCGATCAGTTTTGATTCAGCGACTATCGTCAGTTTTTGGTTAGTTGTAGCCATCAATGAAAAACACTTTGTGGTTTGGTATCTGGGACAAGAACTCCCCTCCCCCCCCCCCCCCCCCCTCTAACCCGCCTATCCCTCCCCACGGGATCTTGGACTGACAGACAGAAGATTTACTTTTTGTGATAATGATCGAGAACATTATTTGAAACTAAAAAAGAGCAACAACAACGAAAACAACCGCAAATTTTGGCGACTTTTGAAGCTGACTTCATGCCGCATCAGTTTTGTTTATAACTTATCTTTTCTTTTTTCGAATATTATCCTACTGCGGTCTCGCCATGAACATTTTATGTTCGTTTCTTAATGGTCATTCCTTCAAAGTGGTACAAAACCCTTTTTCATCGTACTTTCATTTTTCTAATTAAGTGTTCCGAAACTGCCTCAGGTAGCCCGAGTAAAATGCCTTTTTTGGAACTCTATACGAGTGCGGTAACGCCAGAAGATCACGGTATCAAATATCTTTGKCAGTGTATAAATGTCAGAATACGAAGCATTTGATTAGTGTTTGTTGTTCTTCTGATCACAGTAGAATGGCGAATCTTCTTCGCGGTCTGGCTTTATTCATTGTGTATTCTCTGTGTTTAAGTGGGGGACATTGTACATGGTGGAATCCTTATGAATGGCGGTACTACTGGATCAACTGGGCAGACAAAWCACACAAAGAAATAAGTGCTGAAGATGAAACAGTGATTGAAATCCAGCCAACTCAAGCGCTACAGAAAGATGGGTAAGTTTTACCGACCTATATGCGATTCTGTATAATTCGTGTTGAAACCATTAGAACTCTGTTATAAAGAACTCCTCGTATTTCAAGTAGRTGACATTTCAGTAAGTGAGACTTCAATTTTCGATAATATTTTCAGGAGAAAAAATAAATAAGCAATTTATAAATGTCWATTTTAAAGGTTCCGCTATTMAGGACAATGCAGACAACCACGAATGCTRTTCATGTCGAGCGGGTTTTGAAGTGACATTGCATCGCTAGTTGGTTTATGTCAAAGTTAGAGAGGAAGACCAGAATGACCTGGAGGAAACCTTGAGTGATGAAGAGGAAGAAGGACAAAATTTAATCTCCCTAAATTAGATAATCAACTGCGAATTCATCTTCAACTAGCAATTTAAAGTTTATTTGTTATGGCGAGTCCATATACTATGTAAAAGGGAACTCCATTATTTCCTCTTCCTTGACCATATCTTATATTTATTTGCGCACCTATTTCAATGGTTATGTAATAGTATTATTGAGGAATGGTACAACATTCCCCCTGTACTGGGTTCGTCCTTGTTTATTTTCGATCCTATGAAGTCTATGCAGAATATTGATATAATTTAACTTCACATTGCATTTAATTTTCTTAGGATAAATGTGTGCAGTGTAAAAATCCCAATATCGGTGTCCCGCGACTGTAGGTCAGTACCAGGACGTCGAAGACTGCGTTGCAGGTAAAAAATTGCAGGGAAAACGGAAGACAAAGCGTACTAGCGCTGCGCTTGCATTTGCGTGGTTCCATAGGTTTTCTCTTGTTTTCACAATTTTCTAGACGTTTTCCTTTTTTACAGTTTTCGTAATTTTGCTTATGTCGTAAAAACGTCAAAGAAAAACGCCTAGAAAGCAAGAGAAACCCTACTTGAGAACCTCTGAAATCATGCAGGATATGCCGCTTATAAGGGCTTCGCGATCAGTATTTGATGGAAAAATTGTGATAAAATCATAAAAGATTAATCATTTTTTAATTTCAATATTAATTTTGATTTTAACTCCATATGTTAACAATGCCATTAATGATATTAAACATTATCATATTTTTTCCGCGCGAATAATGGTATCAAAATAAAAAGGAACAGTTTATGAACATTA